AGATACTTGGTTAGATCGACTCCTGCTCCTGCCTGTTACATACCTTAGCTCAACAACATGATACCCTTTTTGACACATATTCAATGGGTATCTATACATACATATATGTATGTGTAAGCCCGATGAGTCAAAGAAAGTGAACGGCATAAATCAGACAAGTGTCAGCTGACGTGCTTGAAAGTGGATCATATTTTGGGCCAAGTCGTAAATCGATATGACATTTGGGGTATATCATTAAATGCGAGTACGCAAAAAATTTGTTTAAATTTTATTCTGTATATTGTTTGCAGTTTAATTCGCGTATGCTGTTCAAATTTATGGCAGACACTCGAGGTGTGAATGGAATGGCCAAAAGCGAAGCAAACATAGATTAGATATAAGGCTAAGACGAAAAAAAAAAGTGAGAGATAAATATAGATAAACTGAGGCAGCTCTGAACTATATAAACAATTAAATTTTGTATAGAATATATAGATATATAAATATATATAGAAATATATAGTATATAGAACATATACATATACATGTGGATGCGCTCAAAAATTGTTCAAAACAAAAGCTATTATTATGAAAAACTAAAATACATTATTTTACATTATTTCTATTATAAACAAAACTCAATTTGTTTAATTTGGTAACAGAGTACGTTAAATTTATGATGATATATGAGCCAGGCCCAATTGAATTAGCGCACGACATGAGTGTAATTAAAATAAGAGTCTCATCAATTAGCTGCAACTAATTTCCAGCAATTGTTGTTTAAGTTCAGCTGCACCCAGGGAACAACCCACACACACACACACACACTCACACACTGAGAAAAATCGCCCACACACTTCCCATACAAGAACAATGACAGGCGAATCGATTTGCGTTTATCAATTGAGGGCGAAAAAAAAAGGTGCGAAATGAAAAATAAAGTTTTGTTTGTCTGGTTTTTGAGTTTCTCAATTTCATGTGTTTACGCAAAAATGAAAATTACACGCTGCGAAAAAAATTGGAAGCGAAATTAAACGCGTGTGAAAAATAAATTGTGGCCAGCAAGTAGCATAAACAACATGAAATACTTGAAACGCAAATGAGATGAAGAATAAATAAACTCAAATTAATTAAAATTTCCTGCCCAATTGCGCACTTTCGCCTTGGGCACTGTGCACACTGCGCGGGAGGCGACTGTATCATTTCGAGGCAGACAAATACCGTTTTAATTTGAATAAATTACAACGTTTAAGAGACAACAAAAAATGCTTAAGCTATGAGCTCAGCCAGGCTTCAAATGTTTAAGTATTTTAATTACTCAAAAAAAATTTTTTTTGCAATTGCAAAGTTTGTCGACTATTTCAAAAGAAAGCGGTTTATTTTTTCTGCAAATATTTCAATTGGACTTTTTCCGCAGCAAGTTGCATTTCTTGTCTGTTTTTGTCACGTTTGTGTTTTTACATTTTAGGCAAAAGGTGTGTGTGCGTGTTTGCGCAGGTGCGAGCGAGATGGCTGCTAATGATAGACATGCAGTCGCTGACAAAGTGCGACAAATATGGCAAGCAAAAAAAACAATACAAGTGTAACTACAGATAAGTGTCGATATGGGTAAAGGAAATAGGTAGAAAAGGCGAAAAGATCAAACAACAATTGTTAAGAGTTGGCTGCAAGCAAAGAGATTTATTAGCAAGAGTGGCAAATTAAGAGAGCAACATTGTTGTAGCCGCAAGAGCGCGCGCTTACAGCAACAGGCAGCTTATGTAATTAAGGCAGTGTGCTACAGTTAACAGCAATGTTTGCCGCAGCATTGATCATGTAACATGAACAGAGAGCGAAAATGTTATTACAAGAGACGTTCTGTGGCAAACAAAAGAGAGCCAAGAGCGCGCGATCTGCTCGCTCCGTTTGGCAGCCAGCCAAGCGCCTTGTGCGATGTTTTTATTTGGTATGTTTTGTTTGTGCGTGCGCATTGTTTTTACCTTCGCCTTTGCCTTCAACATATGTAGACCGAGCGCCGACTGAGAATGTTAACAACAAATATTTGATGAAATTCAAGTCTAACAATTGAAGCCCGTTTGATAAGGAGTGAACGGGGGCTACTATGTGTATAGTTGTAGTTGTATGTTTGTGTTCTTGTAGTTTCTTTTAATTCATTTCATTTTTTTTTACTATTATCAGGCGACAAGAAAATACACGCAAAGATAAGCAAATATACACAAAAAGACGCAGAACTTGAAGAAGGTAATAAACAAGCAAAGTGACCAAAATGTAAATATGTATATAAATCTGGCACGCTTTTCTGTTCTGTGGGGATTAACAGAAAGCTTTCTTTACTGCACTCGTCTGTTATCAGGCTGTTGTTTACATTACAAGACAACGACAATAAATACAAATTTTAATTAAAGTATTTTTTAATTTGTATGCTTTGGAGCAGCATATTTTGGTTTTATGCTTTCTTTTTTGAGCAATTATTTTTCATTATTATTCCACATGACAACTGCGGCAACTAACACAACAACAAAGGCGACACACATTCATACATATTTCCGCAAGAGTTAACAAATACAACAACAACTACACACATATAGCTAGATTTTAGCGGAAACTCGAGGCGAAAGTTTTAGCTCTAGCCAAAACGTGGGAGTTGAGAATGAGAAACATAAGAAAAACGCCAAGAAAAAGGGCGCAGCTCAATTGCTTCCAAAAAAAAAAGGAAGACTGAAAAAACGGTAGCCTGAATACTATAAAAAATACGATAAATATATATACAACAATTTTATCATATATATTTCTTAAGAAATGCTCAAAAAACTGAGAATACGTTTTAGTTTTTGCAAATGACAATTTTCATTCAAGAACTAACGCATTGTACGTTTTATTGGACGGCACTGTATACAGTCATATACACATGTATATGTAAACATTTCCGAAACTCATCTGACTTGTATTATACGAGTTGATGCTGCATTTTTAGCGTAGGATATTGAGTCATCTGATGAATTATTTAAAATTTATTCTATTTATATAAGTTTATATTGTGGTCTGAGTTAAAGCAGAAATTCACAAATTTTCCAAGCATGAAAACTTGGAAAACATTAAAGGCGCGTAAGAATTGGATAGAATTATAAAATTTATAGATAAATATTGTAAGCATATATTGCAATTGACATAATCGCAAGTTTCTTCGGCTGCGCAATCAAGATAATAAATAATTGTTGGTTCATAACTTTTATCGAATCGTTACAAAATCAATAAACCCGTTTTTTTTTTAATTTATATATTTATTACTTATCGTATTCACAAATGGCGAAAACCCTAATGGGCAATAAATATTTTTTTAACACTTGCATCTCAAATAAACTGCACACTGCTAAGCAACATCCGTGCATTTGCTGCATTAGACTGTACACTGGCTTCAGAAATAAAGTGTACACCGTGCTGCTGCACACACTGGCGTCCAAATTGAAACCAAATTCAACGAAGCGAAAAATGTTAAACAAATCTCATCAGCTAATGAACTAAAATAACTGTGCAAACTTTTGGGTCAACAATATTACTTTGTCCATTTGAGTCAGCCTCGAGACTCGATTAACATAATGAGAAAAAAAAAATGTAACAAGGCTGAAAGCCGCAAAAACAAAGCAAGCACAAGACAAAAAGGGGGCGTGTCCGAAGTGGCGGCACTTCATTACACAAATTATACAACCTAAGGTCAAGTGGTCATTGTCTCGGTGAAAGACGACATTAAATTGCTCGAAATTTGAAGGAGAGAAGGAAATTACAACAGCAACAATGCAGGCAAAGGCATTGATTTATGAGTGAGGCCCAAGGATTTTAAAGGGGATACACACACACACACACACACACACACACACACACACACACACAACACACACACACACACACACACACACACATGCACATAATACACTTAAATATCGAATAAATCATAAAACGCGACAAAACAACAAAAAACTCAACTCAACGCGTTTTAAAGCGCGTCCATGCGCCAAGCAGATTAGCGTGCGAATTGTGGGTGAGAAGGATACGAATAATGTAAATGTTAATGCGGCACGCATTAAACAGAGTGTTAAACGGTGTTAGCAGTAGACGGATTTGGCAGACGAAAAGCGCACCAAAGCAAACGCGTAAAAGAACAAAAAATGACACACAAATGTCTGTTACGAGCGAATGAGTTTGACACAAGGGAAGGGGGCTGTGCAGAAATGGGAGTGTCACAAGAGTGCCAACGGGGAGGTGGTGTTGGGGGTGCCAGTCGAAATCAATTAACAGCCATAAGGAAGATCAAAGCTGCGCTCAAGTGAAAATGTAAGAACTGGAGCGTGCGAGCGAGAGACCAGATGAGTACAGTTACTGAGAGCGAAATGAATGGAAGTCATGTCGTATGCATAATTTGCGCATTGGATACAAATAATACAAAAGCGTAAGAGAAGAAAATATGGGAGCATAAAAACGGGAATCAACGAAACTGGAATGCCCTCATAAATTAACTACTACCAAACACTTAAATAAATAAATTAAACTTATTTTAAATTTAATAAAAATCTCAAAAAAAAAGTGTAGTTCATATTTTAAAAAAGTGATGATTTACGCCAAACTGTGCCACATAACGAATTGACCCTGTTCTTGTTTTGGCAGCGACTCAGCCCATAAAGAGGGGTTGATGACGTTGCCCGAGACAAAAGCCATAAAAACTATGTGTATGTAGTTTCTGGCAGCCACAACCCCAACTGGGCTCAGGGCTAGTGTAAGCATATATACAGTGAAAGCTCTTTTGAGTGGACCACGCTTAAAAGACGTCTAGGAATCAACAGAAGAAAAAAAAAAAACAAACACAGAAAACCAAAAATTCACACATAAATATTGAAATAGATCTTTGATCTTTACTTTGAAGAACTGAAATAACTTGTTCGTCTAAAGGTGACATTCACCTAAGTCGAGTTCTCACTGTACACGCGCTTTACTGTTATGTTAACATATGGATTTCGGTTGGTACTCACCAAAACATTCTTTTGATTCTCTTTGTCCAGCAGAAATTCCATGCTTTTGTGTGGCCTACGAACTGAGGCGATTTGGACGCCGCCCGCCTGTGTTGATGGCTTGATGCGTTGATTGTTTCCATCGAGACGCTCATCATCGTCGTCATCGTCGTCGTCGTCATCATCCCGGACATCGTAGGCGGCGCTGGTCACATTCAAACGCTTGACCAGATACCGTTTGTGCAGCGGATTGCAGGTGATGTCCATAAGGGAGCGCGTCTTGCCCGTGATAATCGTTTCGTGTGTGTCCAAATTGGTCTCGATGAGGCCCATTTTTCCAGACCCGCCATCGCCATCGGTGGTATCCAGCATCGGGGAGACAGCCACCGGCACGGCTGTTACCATGGTTAGCGGACGCGACGGCAAGCCGGCGCCCAGCTGATTGAACATTTGCGTCTTTTGCGCGACAGAGGCGCGCGACGGCGATTCGGTGGCTCGAGCCATTTCCGTTTCCGTTAGCGACATTTCGTGACGCTGGCCCGTTGTCAACTGTTGGGCAAAGGCCGCATATTGTTGCCGTTCGGCGGCCAAGAGAGCATCGCTAGCATGGGCAGCACCTAAGGAGCCATTGGCAGCACTGACCGCATACGGCGCATGCGCTTGCCGTGGCGGCAACTTCGGCAACGGGGGTTTACCTGTCACCAGCTTTTGCAGTGTCGATGTTTTTGGCAGCTCCAGCTCGACTGCTGCTGTTGCTGCTGCTGCTGTCGCCTGGCGACTGTGAACGCTGGCGGTGCTCGCTTCGGAGGCGTTGCTGTCATCTAGCGTGCTGCGCGGCGGCTTGAGGGGTATGTAAATGAAATCCTGGCTTTTGCCGTTGCTTTGCGTTGCTTGCTTGAGCGGCTGTTGCTGCTGCTGCTGCTGCTGCTGCAGCTGCGGTTGCTGTTGCTGTTGCTGCTGCTTCTTCTTGCGGCGCAGCGAGAAGCGCAGGCCATGCGCAAAGCGCGACAGAAAACTCTTTGAGCTGGGATGCTTCTCGTCCGTTTTGTTGGCGCGCTGCTTTAGCGGCGACTCATTGTTATTGGCGCTGGTTATGTGCGCCGTGGGCTGGACTGACGTTGATTTGGACGACATGTTCTTGTCGACGTTGTCGTGGTCGTAACGCTGCAGCAGCTGCTGCGAGGCGTAGAGTATGTGATGTGCGCGGTTTGTGGGCGGTTCGCTTAGTATGGGCAAATGCAGGCTTAGGGGGCGTGTGTGTAACGGCACTGTGTGAACTGGTGAACTGGCGATCGCGTACGATGAGCTCGCGTCGACGCTCGTTTCAAGACTGACAGCCGAGGCAGCAGCAGCGACGCTTGAAACGGGCTGCAGCAGCAGCGGCGGCGGCAGCGGCGGCGATGTTTTTTGTTGTTGCGTTTCCATGCTGACACCAGCGGCGATGTTTTCGTTGTTTTCATCGCTCTCGCTGCTCTGGTCATCGATCACGCTCTCACGCTCGCGTTCGCTCTCTTGCGCTCTTTGCTGTTGATGTGGCTCTTGTTGCTCTTGTTGCGGCGCTCTTAGCTGTTGCTCTTCATTGTAGCGCGCTGCTATGTACTCGTTCTCTTTGGTGTTATAAATAACAGTGGCATCGTTGTTATCCAACAGTTCCTCTTCTTCTCCATCATCATCATCATCATCATCATCATCAGCATCATCATTGTGCTCCTCATCGCTGCTCGCCTGCTCGTGCTCCTCTTGCGGCTCCTCCGACGATTGCTCCTGCCAGCAATACTTACTCACCACTGGACAGAAACTCACCTCCTTGCTGAATGAATTACGCGAGCCCGCCGGCAACAGTATGCCCAAGGGCTTTGGCTGTGTCGGTGTCTGCGGCAGCTGATGCATCGAATTGTGCGCACTGCTCACATATATATCATCCTCCGGCTCCTGGCCGCCATCGAAGGCCGATAGATTGGGCGTACTGCTGACCAGGCTGCGCTGCTTGGCCGTTGAGCTCTGGAAGCGCCGCTTGGGCAGCACCCGATTGGGCGGCGGCGGTGCCGGATTCCTCTTGGGCAGCTCAAAATTGCACTGCTCCAGCGACTGGGCATAGGAGGTGCGCAAATTGGTCGGATCCTGATCGAAAGTCTTGCCAAAGCTGCTGAAACTGATGACAGTCGCCGCGGGCACGGTGGATGCAGTAGAAACTGGCGATGTTGGCTCCTGCTCCGCTGTCTGCCGCTTTTGGCGAGCCGGCGGCTTACGTATGGTTAGCTGGACATGCTGCACTTGTGGAGGCGCCTCCTCCTGCTCCGGCGCCGGTTCCTGCTCGACGGTCTTGTCGTTCAATATGGATGCATTTTTGTCATAGATTTGGCTCAGCTCGTCCAGCAGAAAGTTGCCCTTGCATATGAGCTGGTCGTAATCCTCGCCAGAAACGACACGTTTACGTTTGTCCATGTCGAAAGAGCTGCGCTTGCAATTATCACTGCGATCCGCGTAGTCGAGTAGCGTGAGGTTTTGATAGCTAGCGTTTAGGTAGCCTGCTCCGGCGCCTGCGCCCTTTCCCGCTTCCGTTCCTGTTCTTGCACTGAAGCCGCAACGTTCGTTCCAGCTGCAGCTGCGTCGCATGCGCGGCAAGCTGCTGCAATCAAAATTGTCCAAATCCTCGCTAGAGCTGTGCCCGTCCTCGCTGCTCTGGCAATTCCTCTGCTGCTGCTGGCGACGTGTTCGCCTCCGTCTGCCCAGCTGCTGCAGCTCGTTGGGCACGCTGCCGGCTAAGGCTGTCGCTGTGCTGATTCGTGACAGCACGGGCGAGCACTCGGCGGATGTGGTGGAGGAGGCGGAGGAGGAGGCGCTGCTGCTGCTGCTGCTGCTGCTGCTGCTCTTGTTGTTGGCCAGGCCGTAGCTGTTGTTGTCCGTTAGAAATTTGGGCGACGAACCTCGCGGCTCGCGTATGTCGGGCAAACTGTTGCGCAGCCAAGTGAACGAGGCGGCGGACGATGTTGACGACAACGACGTCGGCGACGACGTTGCGGATGCCGCTGATCCGCTGGGCGATGGCGAAGACGACGTGGATGGCGAGCGTGCGCCTCTCTCGCAGCTATTTATAGACGATGCCGGAGAGCCGAGAGATGACTGCGACGCTGACTGCGTCTCGTTTGTCTGCTGCTCTATTTTTGTCTGACACAAATCATTGGAGTTTTTGGAATGTGCGCCTGTCGCTGCCCCTGCCCCAGCCCCTGCGCCAGCCACTGCCATTGCCCCTACCACTGACGCTGGCTCCTGTTCCAGCAGCTCCTCCATCTCCTCCTCTTCGCAGAGCTTGTCGAAATTCTTTGGTATGCTCTTGGATTTGGCGCGTCGCAATGTGCTCGGCTCACAGTAGCCCGAATCCTCAGACAAATTCTCCGCCGAATTGAGCGGCAGGCGTCGGGCACTGCCCGCATCTTGTTTACCCGGACAGGCGCTGAGCATGCTGTGTCCGCTGCTATCGCTGCTGGACGTGCTGCTCGACTCCGAATCCGATTTGAGTTCCGCCTGATGCAGGCTCTTGCAGGCACCGAACAGTTCGCGCTGCTGCTCCTCCAGGTCCAGCTTGTGCAGCTCGTAGTAGGTCTGATGCAGACGTCCGTCGCTCGACTCGTAGCGCTTCAGCAGCGACGTGGCCGAGCCGCGCCGGCTGTCCGGATTACTGTGGCTACCGCCGCTGGCGCCGCCGCTGCTGCTGCCGCCGCTGCTGCTGGCCACCGTCTCGCAGCTGAACAGCGAGGGCGAGCTGTTGCCCAGGCTGTTCATGCTCTGGTGCTGTTCCTGCAGCGTCAGCTGGCGCTCCAGCGACTCGAACTGCACCAGCGAGGAGCTGCGCGATAGCGAATGATACGAATCGTTGTCCGAGTAGAAATCCTCAAAGTTGCCGCCACGCCGGCAGCTGCCCGTGCTGTTGCGCTGGCCCTGGCTGCCGTAGCTGTCCCGGGCGCACGCCTCCAGCGCCAGGAAGCGCTCCAAGCTGTTGTGCGCCTCGGCATCGTAGCGCGGCGGCGGCGGGCGACGCAGCTGCACCATATCCTCCAGACTGTGCAGCAGCTGCTGCTGCTGCAGCTCCTCCTGTGAGCGGCGCGCGCGCTTCGGCGGACAGGCAAAGTCACGTTCCGATATGGCGTCGATATCTGCCGCAACAAATGAAACACTTTTATTTGGAGTTCTACGTGTATTCATGCCGCACTCACCCTTGTTAATTTCGACTCTTATGACCGAGCCTGTCTCGGACTCAGCGGAGCTCCAGAAGCCGCCGCCGCAGCTGCTGCTGCCGCGATGCTCGTAGCCGTTCCAGCTATTTTGCGCATGCTCCTCATCCTCGGAGGTCTCCTCCATGATGGGCTCCAGCATTTGGCGCGAACTGGACAGGTAAATGCCATCTGCAAACAGAGTGAAAGTGCATTGTTATTATTATTATTCGAATTATTGTTTATATAATTTTATTATTTGGATTTATTATTATTTGCGCACTTTGCAGCCACTTGCGCATCTCCTCAAGCACCGTCTCCAGCTGTGCCTGCAGCTAAACTGAAGCGCGCAACGCGACAATCTGCACAGAGACACAGTCACTCGGGCCTTCATTCACAGCAACTGCAACGGCATCTGCAACTGCAACTGCAACTGCTGCTGTGATCTTATCGTGAGGGCTCCGGCTGCCTGTCCGTTGCATGATTCATGCCGCTTAATTATGCAATTTATTAATAAAGTGTCGCCGCATTGGTTGGCCAAACTAACCAAGCTGACCAACCGAGAGAGACTTTAGCCCAACAACATCAGCCAGCTGCAAGTGCAGAGGTTAGTTGAATCAATTAACTTGTAACTAATGCAACTAATTCGAACCCAAAGTCCTGTTACTTTACGTTTTGTGGCAAAATGTTTTGTGCATTATAGCAGACATCTCCGATCGAATAAAGCACATGCTTATTTATTCTTGGGTAGTATCAACAGCTGAGTTGTCAGCTGTTCCAGGCAAGTGATTTAAATTTGGAGTGCACAAAAGTAGAGCTGTCTTTTTCTTTTCGAGTATTACGAACAATTCAAGCATATATGAATTAGTAGTTGATTGATTTTTTTTGAGTATCTACAATAAAAGCCTTAAAATCAGCATGAATGAATGTATCAACTGATTATAATATAAGGCACTTGAAGCTAGTGTCATCCGACCATAATAAAAGAAAGCGCATAACTGGCAAAAAATTAAAATAAATGATCCATGGTCTTAAAGTTTATCTTTGATTTTCTGTAAGCACTGGCAAAAAAAAACGAAGAAATTGCTTCAAGGCCTTAAAGCTTGTCTCTCAGATTCATCTTAAGCAAAATTCATCTTGTGCTAAACTTTAGGCTGATCTCATTGGAGCATAGAAAAGGAAAACTGTTAATGTTTACAGTTTCTACGCTACACAAACTTCTAAAATCAACATAGAGCTTTTATTTAAATATTAAAGCTTAAGCACCTTCAAGCTTTTGTCTAGCACTCTAGCCTTCTACTTCTCGTTTAAGTAATTGCTTCAGCTTATGAAAATTTAATTTTTGAAACGTTTTTTCGATAATTCTCAACGAGCTTCTGTTGAAATATGTTAAAAAGCTCCTGAAAGCTGTTGCCTTAAGTTTATGTACAAAATGTTAGCTTTTTTCCTGGCACTCGCGACTTCGACTTATCTTTAAAGTAATTTTTTTCAGCTCGTGTCATTCAATTGTTATAGAAAAAAAATGGAAATTGAATTTATGGAAAGTTTGTCGCGGCCGCAAGGCTCATTGATTAGGACGCCATCTATTATTGCTTTTGATTATAAAATTTGTTGATTCAATTCTTACTTAGATAATCATTTTTGGGCATACTTGATGCATGATTTGAAATTCACAAAAGTAGTTAACTTTCATTTTTATACTGGATAATACCATCAAATTTAATTTTAACACTCACCTTGCTGTTCAAATGCGCCTAAATTCCAATTAATGGGCGTGTTTAGATAACCCGCCAGATCCAAGTGTTCCATGTTGAATGTGGCAAGTTTTTCAGCAAATTGTTTTGGTTTTTTTTTTTAGGATGCACTTTTTTCTTCTTGTACAGCTTTGACTACTGCTAAATACTTAAAAGTAATGTATTTATATCGTTGTTGCAATGCTTAGTCTCCAAGTATCACATCGGTTCGTTTCTGATTCTTCAGGTTCTCCTCATTGAATGCAACTGGGGCAAATAGCACCAATTATTTCCATTTGCCTTATCGCAAGTATTTTGAGTTTTTGTGCAATTCGGCGGCAGCATTCGGTACAGACTTTTGTTGTATTTTCGATAAGCGAAAACGATATCTGTAAGCAAAAAAAAAAACAAAAACAAAAGAAAAACAATACCAAAAAAAAAAACGTTAGTACAAATTGGTGATAAGAGCGGAATCATATGTCCATATAACAGGCTGTGAGCGCGTATTTACGCTGCATTTCAAATTGCAAATTTTAGAGGGAAAACAGCAGCAACAGTTCTTTATAATGCCATCGAACTTTTTTAGTACATTTTAGCACAGGCACAATTAAGCGTATACCTTTGGAAATCGTGCAACTCAAGCCTAATTAAATATTTAAAATATTTTTTAATCACAATTTTTGCATTTTAACTTGTAGAAGCAGCAGCTTTTTAAGCTTCCCGTAAGCTATCTTTGCTCTGGCCGTGACAGGAGCGCATTAGGATCTTTTAGAACATCATGTAAGTCATGTAGCGCATCTAGATCTTTTAGAACATTATATAAATCGTGCTGCTTTTCAAATAGTTGATTACGTTTTCAACATTTTAACTAGCAGAAGCAACGGTAATTAAAGATTTGCGCGAAATTACTGTTGGCAAGAATTTTTAGAACATTATAAAAATCGTGCAGCTTAAGTCTAATTATATATTTAAGTACATGTTCAGCATTTTTAATATTAGAAGCAACGAATAAAGAAGATTACAGCAAATTTCAATTGGAAGCGCATTTAGATCTTTTAGAACAATCAACAAATTTAGTACTCATGATCCGCACACAATTTAGTCAATATACAGCACATGTGCTAATCTAATGTAGAAAACAGCAGCTAGAGTTAAATAGTTTAGCACCAATAAATATATGTGTTAGATCGGCGTGTTTATTGACTTGTGCTGACTTTTATAGTTTTATAGAATCATAATACAGCTAAAAGTCAGCTTATATAAAATCTATAGCTCAGTAATCAAATAGAAAACAGCAGCTAAGGTTCAGTCTAACATTTTAGCACGCTTTTAGCACAGATTATTGTACAAGCATCTGATAGCTAGTACTAGAAACTGCTGCCCCTTAATGATTATTGAGGCGGGGGCGACTTTAATTGCTCCAGCCGAATGCTAATAAGCATTTCTGTATGCCTCACACATGGCAAATGTGTGTAAAAATATATATTTCGAAATAGTTGCCCGTCAAAATGCAGTGCACCGTGGGTGATCGCCAATTGAGTCGAGTCGCAAGTTGTTTGCCTGCATTTCCAGTTGCATTATATGCATAAATATAGAGTACACTTAATATGTACACAGTATTATTTACAATTTAAAGATTTTGTTTAAAGCATTCGCCACAACACGCTGGATTGCACAAAACAAGCGATAACCCAATTCGCCGCCTGCACTTTTCAATGCCATTAGGGGCGAGGGCAGTTTGTATTTAGGTTTCAGTCGATCGATCCAACTTATATATAAACAGGGAAAATTTTTTTGCTCAAACGTCATTGGGAGGCGTTCGACCTGTTGTTTATTTCGCAATCCGTGCTATGTAAACTCAAGTTATTTATAAATTGAATTGGAAATACATATTGCACAATACACATGGTACGCATGAAAATTTACAAAGGAAATTTGGGCGAAATAATCAACTGAAAGTAAGCAATTCAATTGAATGCGAACTGCCAGCGATATGTCAGGCCAATACCGGCTAAACAGAAAGTGATTGGTTCCTTTTCTAAAATATCATGAATAGATTGATTACATCCATCTTACGGAAATTGGCTCAGTGTCAATTGATTTTATAAATAGAAATTGTTTAAATAAATCAAGCCAGAACCTTTCCAAATAAATATTCATTAAAAATTCCAGCACTTTTTGGTCGCGAACAAAACTTTTTCAGTATAATAAATAAAATTGAAGGCATTTGGCATTTAGACCAATTTAGTACATATTTAGAGCAACCAAACATATTTTTAGATACCATGTCATGGGTTAAGTACATCTCGCAACAGAAAGAGCTTTAAAAATAGACCAATTTACGTTTTAGTACATCTGTAATAATGATCACAGCAGCTGAACTAAATTATTATTTGTTTTTAGAACACATTATCTTACGTTATTTCAGCTATTTTCGCTTTCATCTGACTTCCTCTGTACGTGAAAGCCGAAAAGAGCTGTCATAACCGACATGCACATGCAACAAATCGTGTCCAATTAATCACCTCAATATTCAAAAAGATTGACAGCCAGCAGAGAGACGAAAGAAAAAAGAACACATGTAGCGGGGCTAAGATCCTAAGACTATGACATCAATTTTGTATCTTTGGCTTATCGCAGACAATATATAAAACGAAAATTTGAAGGTTGATTTCATGTTTAGAAAAAACGTTGATTAATGTTGATTAAATGATATTTTTACTTGATTTCTTTTGTTGGCTGATAAGATAGAAAACTATGTGGAATAATACTGGCCACAAGACACCCTCTATTTAGAAATTATAAATCGGAAGTTGTTTACTTTTGGCTCTGCCGTATGCATCCATCAAATTTTGGCCCACTAAGCTCAACAGCGCTGACCTTTGGAACGTGCAAAAAACGCCAGAGATACGACATGAGGAAGGTGTATGATATGCATGTACATATATATATATATATATATATACTATTATGTGGCCAACGATAATGCGTTGTCCAATTGAAAGATTGTCACATGTACTAAAATAATAATAGACAACGGGAAAGTGAGAATATCTTCGGCACGCCGAAGACTTAATACTCTTGCAGATATGTGCGCATAGTGCAGATCTAAAATACTGAGTTTGTTGAAAATATATATGTCGGAACTGAGAAATCACTTTCTTTGCAATTAGGCATACTGGCAGCACAGCAAGTCCCGAGTGTCGTTATAGTCACAAAATAATTATATTTTTAGGAGCGAGCACGTCTGTTCTCTATGACTTCCACTTTTAGAATGAATAATTTTCATCGTCCTCGAGCATACTACTCATGCTCTTGTCATTCTATATTCTTCTCTGACTTTTAGTACTGTTAGTGAACATTCAACACTATAGCAAACTGGACGTTATACAACACACTCGGGCCATGCTCGGCAGAGACTATCTTTTTTGTCTCACACCATGCTTTCAGTAGCAACCCTAATACAAGTAGGACAGTTATGTTAAATAGCAGTACCTTCTGTCAAATTCTCTGATTCTTACTAACACTTAATCGTTAGCATTCAAAATAATACTCACAATAATTTATTGGATACACGACACGGCCTTCCTGACATTTCACACGTCCTCGTGTGTACATTTCGCTTAGATCATGCCATAGTCAAAATTGTTGGGTAAAATTTATTAGTCATTACTTTACTTTAAGAATAGCTTTACAAACAGCAGTATCATCGGTCATTGTAGGTTTTATTTTTTTATTTTTTTTTTTTTTTTTTTTTTTTTTTTGTTGTTGTTCTGTCATCACACGTCTATAGGCTCTTGCTGCCCAGCAACGATAACATGGAGCGGATCCATACAGGTCTTTCAACCTCTGACCCCCGCCATAATATCACCCGCTTCAGCACGCCATGATCGAGCACTTGTGCACGGCGTGAGTATTATGGTGCGGTCTTAGCCATCGTGTATGAGCCCAACCGCACTCTCTCTTAGTGCCACAGTGTCTTGAGCAATGTCCTCAACATTGTCACACTCATCATCTCTCAAATCTATCAACTCCTCCGATACATTGTTGCTTGGAAAAGCTCGCAAATACTCATGTGCATACTTAAACGTGCGCTTACTCGTCAATGACTTTAATAAATATCTGTCTCCATCAAGTATTTCGATTATCTCAAAAGGTCCCTTAAACTTGGGATCTAACTTCGTTTGATTTCGTTCTTCCCTCTTGAGTAGGACATGATCACCAAGCTTATATTTTACAATTTTTGCTTTATTTTTATCAAACCTAGCCTTATCATATTTAGCGTTATTCACCATGTTATCTTTCGCTTGTGCTCTTATTAAATCTTTATCAATTGTTTTTTCATCTGATATTGTTATCATTCCTAACGGCCTTGCCTCTTTACCGATTAGCAATTCTAACGGACTATATTTCGTTACACGATTTGTCGTGCAATTTATTGCCAGCTGTATGTCTTTTAAAGCGTCTTGCCAGGATCGCTGACTACTCTCAACCGCTGTGAGCATGCTCTTCAAGGTGCTCATGACACGCTCTACTTGGCCGTTTGCTCGACTGGCGCCCGTCGCAATCAGGTGTAAACCTATCTTCTGCGAAGAACAAAATTCCCTAAACCTTGTGCTAGCAAAACATCTACCCTGATCAGCTATGATGCGTGCCGGCACTCCGAATAGTGCAACAGTTTCTTTGACTGCCTTAATGCAGTTTTCCGTATTAATGTTCAGCGTATGTTGAAGGTGAACAAATTTTGTGAATGCATCAACTTGAACTATGATGTACTCTTTTAAGTCGTTTTTGCCACTTAATTTTCCGGTTATATCAATATGCACAGTGTGCCAGGGTATGTCATCTTTAGGAATCGGGTGCATTTCTATTTGTGGCTTACCAGATGGTGGTTTTGACACTCTACAGGTAATGCAATTTTCTACAAACTTTTTCACATACTTAGACATCTTCTCGAACCAGTAGTTGGCATACATTTTGTCTAGAGTTTTCTTCCACCCTAAATGCATTATGGCTTCGTGAACATTGTTAATGACTGACCATCTAAAGGCTCTAGGTATTACAGGCAAACATTTTGTGCTGCCATTTCTTTGAATCCTTCGATATGATACTCCTGCTCTCAATTCGTACGACGCTGAGATAGCTTCTCCCATCTTATGGTTTCGCAATTTTAAGGTTATGGAAGCAATGTCAGAATCTCGTTGCTGTTCGGCTAGAAGCCAATCGTCGGTTATCTCAGCTAGGTTTATGTGCATTTCAACCGTTTTCGCTGAGGATTTATAATCAGTAGGCAACGGATTGCGCGAGAAAAAATCAGCATGTAACATGCGTTCTCCCTTCCTGTATTCAATGCTGAAATCAAATGATTGCAGATATGCCCACCATCTATGTACCCTTGGGGTAAGGTTAATTTTTTTGATACTTGCTTTCAGGGAGTTGCAATCTGTATGCACAATAAATTTTTGACCATGTAAATAATGGCGGAAGTGTCTTACTGCGTTGTAAACTGCGAGGGTCTCAAGCTCGTATGAATGATATTTTGCTTCAGCCATTGTCGTACATTTGCTGTAATATTCAATGACTCTGGGTCTATTTTCTATCTTGTGCATTAAAATAGCACCATATCCAATAGAACTTGCGTCTGTATGTAATTCAATTGGCTTTAGTGGATCGAAAATTGTCAAAACGGAGTCATTAGTCAAAATTGATACGATTTTTTGACGAATTTCCTCATATTCCGGCTTCCAGACAAATTTATTATTCTTGGAGGTGAGATTATATAAAGCTTTCATCTGCTCAGAAAATTTTGGTACGAATTGCCTAAAATACGAGGCTAGGCCTATGAATTGTCGCACCTGCGTTACTGACTGCGGTGACGGCAATTCGGCCAACGCTTGTATCTTGCGTGGATTTGGTCGAATTTGACCCGCTTCAACCAAGTATCCTAAATATTCTATGCTTGTTTTCAAGAACGAGCATTTTGTAATGTTAAATGAGAATCCAGCTCTAGACAAGTTTTCCAAGACCGTTTGTAGCCTTTCAAGTGCCTCTTCCTTTGTCTTCGCTAGAATTAACACGTCATCTATATAGACGATGGCATACGTTTGAGCCAAATCACCCAATGCTCTCACGATTGCGCGCTGGAAAATCGAGGAAGCATTTTTTAATCCAAAAGGCATGGCCAAAAATTCATACTGTCCTTCTGGGGTGACAAAAGCAGTGCGCTCGATAGAGTCTGGGTGTATTGGAACTTGGTAAAAACCACTTGCCATGTCTAAACTGGAGAAATATTTGCCTTCACTCAGTCTATTAATTTGATCAGAAATCAAAGGCAGCGGATATTTGTCAGCGACCGTATTAGCATTCAGTTCCCGATAATCGACACATAGTCGATCGGTTCCATTTTTCTTTCTTACCATCAGCATTGGGCTTGCAAATGGAGAGCAACTAGGACGTATAACGTTTGCGTCTAACAATTCTTTTACTTTATTTCGCACGACTTCTTTTTCTTCTATGCTTAACCTATACGGACGCCTTTGTACAGTTTTATTTGGGTCAAGCAGGCGGATTTCAAGTTCACCCGTAGTCACTCGCGTTTGAGGAATACCCTCAATAAATTTATCAGCATAGTTTTGCAATAATTCTAGCAGACGATTCTTATCAGTGTTGCTTAATGCTCTATCGTTATTCAGATGCTCTACGTAACTTATATCTGGCACTTTTATTAGTACATCAACAGTTTTGGTTTTGTACATTTCAAATTTGTCGGCCTCGATGGAGACTCCAAAGCCTAATCCGAGTATATCACGGCCTATCAATACATCGTATTTCAAAAACTTATCCATTATTACATGAAATAATATTTCTAAGGAGTACTGATCAATTTTAACAGTAGCCAAGATTTGCATAGTGCTATACACAGGATTTTCTCCAATACCCCTCAAAACTATCAAATTATTAATTCTTTTTCCGGAAAATTTCTCGGCACAACTCTCTCTGATGAGCGTACATTCCGCTCCAGAGTCAAAACAAAATGGAACGAGCTCACCAGATTGACGCAGGATTCCTTTTGGCTCGGACACACAACAGATGTTTATACGCTTGTCATGTGATCCAACACCGCTCGTAGAAACTCCTTTCGTACATGAAGACGCAATGTGGCCAGCATCGCCACATTTGAAGCAGGTAACGGCAGATCGAACTTTAGGTAATGCTGAGTTTTTTGACACGTTGCCTTCTTCATACTTCCTCTTGCGACATTCGACCATTTTGTGTCCGAGGTTTCCACAATGATGACATTTAATGCCATATGTTTTCGATCTCTTGCGATCTGGTTCCATTGGGATATTTGGCTGTAGACCTCCATTTGACCTTCCATAAGCATAGGCCTTCAGATGCTGTTGCATCTCGTCTTGACTTTTAATATTAGTCGTATATAACATACGTTGCAGACTTTTGTCGATTTTCGATGTATGTGCCAAAACAACTGAGACTGCAATTTCCTCCATGTTCGCTGTCTTCCATTTGGATAAAAGTGACGTCACAAGACGGCTCGCATATACGGAGAGGCATTCGCCATCATTCGGTCGGCCATTAAAAATGTTCATTAAAGTTGCCGCCGATGTTTCCATTCCCACGAAACGTTGCAAAAACAATTCCTTAAAATTTTGCCAGTTCATTCCAGTATAGCATATTTGAGAAAGCCAGGGCGAGGCGCTTCCTTCTAGGGAGCCGCTGAGGGTCATCACCAGTGTACTGCCCTCAATAGGATTATCGTCAAGTATTATGTCCACAGTTTTGCACCAGGCATTTGCATCTGCGTCTGCAATGTCCGGGTTGAACTTTGGCAACGAGATGCTCTTCTTTGTTGAGGATGCTGAATTTGACATCTGCATTGCTTTAATAAT